GAGAGGGATCAACCAAGGGAAGATCCATGATAGGTTTGAAGGGCAGCTGTTGGTGGGCCCAAAGAACAAAATTGGGTCCCCTCTGAGTCATTGATGATGTGTGTAACACCCTGCACAAATGCTTTCACCACAGAGCGAGTGGTTAGTGGTCTTTGGAACAGAATAGCCAAGGCCCAGATGTCCCCTTTGATGGTGCTTAAGGCCAGATGTCAATCCAGATCAGACTGAAGAAAGGAAGGGACCCGTCCCGCAGAGAACTTCCTAGGATGGAAGGTGCAATGGTAGACTTAGCAAAAGGGTGACTTCCTAGCTCAGAAAGCAGGGATGGCTGAATCTGAGAGAACTCTGTCTCTCAGGATCCAGGGTTCAACCGCAAGGCCTTTAAAACCAAAGACCGAGAAGCAAGGTGGAGGACCGATCCTTGGGACAGAAGTTCTGGATGATCTGGGAGGGCCCACATACAGGAGACTGAGAACCCAGTACCACACCCTCTTAGGACAGTCTGGTGCTGTGAGAATCACTCCCTTGTTATCTCTTACCTTGACAACTGTAACTACCTCCTTGTTGGCCTACCACTAAACAGGCTACCCCGCCTTCAATCTATCATGATTGCTCATCTGCCTTACCAACTGTTCAATGCCCACCGCCCCTCCCAATTGGCCAAATAAAAAAATTCAAAATACTAACAACTGACAAAGTCATCTACAACTCTGCCCCTAGCTATATCATCAACCTTATCTCAAAATATCACCCAAACTGTCCTCTCCACTAATCTCTCCAGTTCTCTCATCACCTCCTCCCTGGCTCTCCTCCAGGACTTTCCCTTCCTTTTTCCTATCCTCTGGAACTCTCTACCCCAATCGGTCCGCTTATCTCCTACTCTGTCCACCTTTAGGTGATCCTTGAAAACTGATCTCTTCAGGGAAGCCTATCCCACCTCAACATAATAACTGTCCTTTTATTTCTTCCACTAACTCAATCTATACAGTTATTACCTTTTGTATCACTTCTACTAGATTGTAAGCTCTCATGAGCAGGGCCTCCTAACCCTACTGTATTGCAATTGTATTGTAACTGTACTGTCTCCCTACATTTCGCAAAGCATTGCGCAAACTGTTGGCGCTATATAAATCCTGTACAATAATAATAATAATAACAGCAGTGGCGTTGTCTGAAGGAATCCTAGTTGGCTGCCCTCACAGCAGAGACATCTGGTGATGAAGGGGCAGCCATCAATTCCAAGACCTTTATGGGGAACCTTTCTTCCTTTGATGACTAAGTCCCCTGTACTGAGAGGGTATCCAGGACTCCTCAACAGCCTGAGTGGCTGGCATTTGTTATGAAGACCAGGGCTGGCTATCCACCAAGCTAGGGTGAGCCTGGCCTTACTAGGCAGACATGTGAGACAATTGAGGGTCTGAGCCTGCTTGTCTCACACAGCCAAAATTCTTAGTCATGATGCTTTGGTGTAAAACTGGACATACAGCACTGCTTTGAAGGTGGCCTTGGGCCCAGAACCCTCATGCAGAAGTGAATGGGAGAGGGGCTTTTGGACCAAAGGGTCTGAATAAGTAAGCGCTGCAGAGTTTGTTCTGTCCATAGTACGTTGGTCAACAAAACCTGGGACCACTGTTTTTTTAGAAGCAGACTGCCTAGATATTCCACTAAGAGAGATAACATGTCCATCGCCAAAAACTGAGGCTTGTTGGGAAAGGGAGAGGTTATACAGGGGCTGTTTTTGCAGCCTTTAACTTTTGTCAGTGTCCAATCATCTAAAGGTAGCATATAACCCAGGGTATAAAACAAAAATAGTCTGTGTCCTGTATTACTCGATCAAGAAAAAAAACAACAATCTCACAATCACTGGTGGTCAGTGGCATTTTAAAACCTCACCACCACCTTTGAAAAAACAATTCCACAATCACTCATGGCCAGTGGCACCTTAAACCATCCCCTTCAAAAAACATTACTGCAATCACTGCTGGCAATCAGTGGTACTTTACACTCCCTCTACCTTTAAAAAAATGGTCCCACAATTGTTAAGTGGCATTTTAAGACTTCTGCCTACACCTTTGTTCTGCCAATCCTCCTTCCTGTTGGGTTTATAAATATTCAGCTCATTTACAAGGGAGGAAGGGGAGCTTTTGCTGGTATGAATGAGCCTAATGTTTGTAAACACTACTAGTGTTTACCATTGTGATGGCTGTGAATAGTTCACAATGATCACAAAGTACAGAGCTACTCTGATTGGCTTTGTACATTGTGAGTGCAATAACAGTTCAGATCAGGTCATCGTCCAGGCTATTTTTTTTAGGCCATAATGCATTACATGGCCTTTGAACCAGGGTTAAAATGGCCAATAAAATGCTTTTGAATAAGCCATTATCCACACGATAAAAGGTGGAGGGCTTAGGGCAGCCATAGTGCCTGGGTACTAAAAGCTTCTGTAGGGAGAGTGTAGGAAAAATGAAAAAAAAAAATGCATAGGGAGAGATTAAGCTCATTAAGGAAACTGTGCATTACTTCAAATTGCTAGCTCTAGAGTGGCTCCAGCAGTTGAGTTTTACCTCAAGGTTTGCACCGGAGCCTAGGTAGACCCTCACTTCCAGCTCCAGAAACCCCAGCTGTGTCTCCAAAGCTACTCCAACATTTACAGCTCCAGAGCTGCTTCAGAAACTACTGCTCCAGCTCAAAAATGGTTCAGGGCTGCTCTGCTCAGCTACAACTGCCTAAAAATCAAATTTAATATGAAGCTTCAATACAGGTTTACTTTTGTTAAACAAAATTGTCTTAGTTGTGTAAGTCAAAACTACTTTCTTAAAGGGCCCTTGTGCTATAGCAGCTATAGCACAAGGGCCCTTTAAGAATGTCGTTTTGACTTACACAACTAAGACAAGTGAAAGGAAGCACTGGCTTATGGAAGCATGGCAAGTTTATAAGGAAAGCCTCCTAGCCTTGACTAAATAATTATTTAGGTTGAAGAAAGGTATGCTAGCTGACCTTGCACTTAAAGAAAAGGTTCCTGCGCCTAAAAGCAACACTACTTGCTTCCTGCTCATGCCCTTACAGAGTTGAGGACATATAACACTGGTGGAGGTGTTTAAAATGGTCAGCTTGTGTTCATATGGTTTCAACCTTTGTTCTTAATGAAAAATAACTATTCCTGGAATTTTTAAAAAACGTTTTAACTGGAGTGAGGCTTTCATTTGTTTGTCTCTTACATAAGGTCCATGCAAAACTACATGTCCATTTAACTCTGGGTGACAATACTGCTGTGCATTAGGATGACATTATTCTTCCCTGCAGAATGAAAAACATTGTCATCCTAGTACAACCTTGTCATCCTATTACAATTGGCAAAACTTGATTTACTGGCAGGATTAACAGGTAATAAAATAATGTTACTATACTAATCATTAAATAACAATGTGTGCTCCCCATAGACCTCAATGGGGTTTGCCACACAGTTTATGAACTTAAAGCAAAATTTGAGGAACAGTTCCCAAAACACACATGGACAGATTTGCTAATTCCTAAAAAATTATGTTAGTAACAATAAATAATTATTCTTCCCAACTACCCAACCTTCTTATTTTTTTGTAATCTAGGTATAATGAATTCTGCCTACCTGCCTAGAAATAAATCCAGCCTTAATAAAGCCAGCCTAAAAGATATTTTTCTGACCAACAATGCAACAACAACAGTAAAAAGGGAACAAACACACAAAGTTGCCACCACTCACAGATTACTGTGAGAGCTATTTTGTGCACCCCCGTTTGTGGGAAATACTGCCCACTGGAGTGACTTAAATTTCATCACACGTGTCTTACCAGGCTTACTATTGCGCATGTGTGGGCCATATACTGTAGTTGGACGATACTGTGAATGTGTTGGGAAATTAAGTGTGCGGCAGTGACTTAAACATCACCCTGTGTATCTCACCTGGCTTATTACTGCAAATGCAAGGGGCCATACAGCTAGATCATACAGCGCATGTGTAGGGAAATAATGTTCATATGAGTGACTTAAACATCATCATGTTCATCACACAGGACTCTTAAACAAGCACATGCGTGGGGCCTTTGGCAGCAGTTACTGCGCATGTGTAGGCGTATGGACGGCAGAGATTAGTAATACTCAAACGCCCGCCTACCTGCCATATTGAGATGGAACCCAAAATCCATCTTTAGGAAGTCCGGAGGGTAAAATAAAACTTTAGGGGGGGTTATTTACAAAGGAGCTGAAGGATCCAGCCGTAGCTTCAGTTGATCCTTCGGCTCTCTCCGGCCGCCGGAGCCGTTCGGTTCAGTCGAACCGAAGGGCTGCTGTACAGGCTATTCACAATAGCCCGTACAGCAGCCAAAGGCGGCCGAGCGGCTCATCCGACCCGAAGATATATGCTTCGGCTCAACTGTGCAGAAGTGACAGCCGAAGCGGGGCCAATGCCAGCTAGGCAGAGCCAGCCGTGATCTCGGAGATACCGAGCAGAGTAGCCGAGCTGAATGCTGCTCGGCGACATTCGGCTATCCATTCACTGCCGTTCGGCCCCTATTAGAATAGGGGCGAATGGCAGCGAGCAAGCTGCTGGAGCTTCGGCTCAGCCGATCCAGATGTTGGATTGGCTGAGTCGAAGTCCCTTTGGCCTTCTCAGCCGAACCAGATGTTGGATTTGCTGAGTCGAAGACCGAACTGCAGCCAAAGGCAGCCGATGTACAGCTGATTTCAGCCGATGTACGGCTGAAATCAGCTGTACTGAGCCAGAGAGAATAGCTGAATGTTGTTCGGCTCACTTCACATCGGCTGGGTTATTCACTCCGCTCCCTTCAGCAGCTTTGTAAATACATCCCTAAATATTCACATTTCTCATTTACAATTTGCAATTCAACTGCTAAAACATGTTTCAATAATATGTATCCTATGTTATTATTTTGACTATGACAACTGAACTAATTAATACATTTGTGCAAACAACCAAAGTATATTGATGATATATATCTTACCTGTCGCAGTATAGTCTTGACACATGGCAATGGAAGACCTTCATAATTGGATTTAATGATCCACTTAAGCAACTGGTGTCCAAGAACTTCCAATACCATGCAGACATCTAGGTGGGTTAAGGAAAACAAACAAAATCCCTACACCCACATGTATAATAATAAATTACAACACCAATCCCCAGCGGCAATTTTAATTTTTCATCTTATAACTATTTTGTTTATTTATTAGCTCCACCAGTTTTGATACTGGAAAAGATACGAACTCCATTTACACCGGATATCTTGAAGTCATCAATGAGTTGCACGATCATCTCCCTTTTAGGGTCATTTGGATCACTATCCCTCACCTAGAAAAAAAAGGAAGAAGTAACATCATCACATACTGCTGTATCAAAAGGTGAGAGTTGGAATTGTGTACGAGTGATGTATCAGGACTGAACAAGAAGAGGGCTTATGAGGCAAGCTATATATCAATATCACAGCTAAGTAAATTACATTGCTGGTACTTACACATTTCAGCAATTTAATTTCATCTACAGCAGTTTCTGTGTAATGCACTGCACTTTTCACAACTTTAAGTGCTCCAAAACGCTTCCTCCTGCATTAAAAAAAGAAAGTCAAATGCCTTTAAGTGCTTCTTCCTGCACACAAAAAGAGCAGAACCGTTATGAGCTAAAAGGTTTAACATTTTGTGTACAATTTAAAAATCTACCCACAGCTCCCCTACCTTGAAACCCTGCGTATCAGCTGCTTTAATAACTTCATCAGGCAACTCTGAGGATACCACTATTTAGAGAGCTGCTTGGCTTTTTTTCAGTGCCGATCTCCATGGGGAAGCCAATGCTTTCCAATGTAGGTCAATATGTATAGGCACATCCCGTCCTCAGAAATCTATTATAATGCAAATGATTTTAGAGTTTTGCTGATGAAAACAGAGTTACTATAATAAGCACTGGTAACTTCACCGATGCTTGGTGCTTGTGTTAAGATTAGGAATGCACTGATACAGATACTAGTATTGGTATCGGTGCCGATACCGAGTATTTGGGTTAGTACTCGTACTCGCTCAAATGCTCCGGTACTTACCTCCAATACCAGAACTTCTGGTCAGAGGGAGATCTCCCTCTGACCGGCAGTGCCCAGGCAGCATGGAGCCAGCTTCCTTTCCAATCAGGAAGCCGGACGGCGGGTTATGACCTGCCTCCTGGCTTCCTAAATGTCTAGGAAGCCGGCTTCACTTGTTGGTAGGCAGCCTGGCTTCGTAACCAATCAGGAAGCTGGGCGGCACCTCATGACCTGTTGCCCAGCTTCTTGATTGGTCAGGAAGCCAGGCAGTCTCGGGAAGTGAAGCAGATGTTCTTTCAATTTAAAAAAAAAAACGGCTTCCTGATAATCGTGGGCACATGGCATTGGTATCGGTATTCGGTATTGGTGAGTAGTGAATAAAAATATTGCTACTCATACTCAATACCAAAAAAACAGTATCGGCGCATCCCTGGTTAAAATAGTGCATTGACAGTGATGAGGAGAATGGAAAAAGGGCAGTGCAGGATATGTGAGTGGGTTTTTGAGTTTTACAGTCCTTCTTCCTGCACTTGAAAACAGCAGGATATTTATAAAGTAGAAGCTTAACTTACCCTCTAGCTGATCATACATTACACAAATATCTCAAGTGATGCAACCACTCCTACAGTATGTAGATTGATGAATAACGTATTACCAGAAGTATTAACCACTTCAAGACCAGGTGTTTAGACCCCCTTCCTGGCCAGGCCATTTTTCAGTATTCAGCGCTGCGATACTTTGACTGACGTTTATTCCGTCATGCAACGCTGTACTGAAATGAATTTTACACCATTTTTTGGGGACAGATAGAGCTTTATTTTGGTGGTATTTAATCACCACTGGGGGTTTTTATTTTTATTATAATTA